ACACATCAGTTAACTTACCTAATGAACTTAACTGTGTAAATGGTTGTTAGAATGCAGACTGGGAGGGATAATATTAAGGCAGACATAGAGCTACAAAGCTAGAAATCTGTAGAAAGCAATGAAAAAAATGAAACTGAGATATCCTTACATATGGACAGTTGAATAAGAACAATCTACTCCCCTCAATTAAATAAGGGACTCAGTTTGAAATTCCCTGAATTGACAGACACCTCAAGAAATCTCTAGGACCCAACAGCTGAAACATGATAACAACAACAAAGATGAGGACATTAGTCCAACTGTAAATAATGATAATCCTCATCCCAGAAATTCAGATGGAAAAGGCAAAGGAAATTTTTATTTGTTTTTAAGATTAATTTATGATTACTTAGGATTATTTGGGACTAGCAGTAGAGCCTGACATTGCCCGGGGATGTAACAGTAAGAAATAGATCAAGTATCATAAAGACTGAAAAATAAAATTGACAAAGATTATTGTTTAAGGTTGACGGACACGCATGTCTTAATTAGTTTTTTTTTTTTTATGAGTTGGTCAAATCCAAACTCAAACAAAAACATTGTTTTCAATCATTACGAGTCTATTGATTGAACAGAATTTTATTATAAACAATTGTCTTGTAAATGGAATTTTTAAAGCATTCTGAATGTAAAAATAAAGAAAAAAGTGTTCAAGACAATAAGAAACACTACCTGCCAAAAAAAAGTGAAGTTTTGTTGAAATCGGTTGAAAAATGTAGGAAATACGATCCAATATATAAACGTACAGACACACACACACACACACACACACACATCTGCGTTTTATAATAAGTAAGATTTTCATTATTTTTTTAATCATGCCGTTAAACTAAATATTTAGCTATTAAAAAAAGATTTTTTTTTCTTTTATTACATTTCTTTATATAGGTATTAAAAAGGAGAATTTTGAATTTTACTTTGTCTGAACAGTGAATTGCTACCCTTCACAACCTAAGTGCACACTTGTATATTTTTGTGCAAGCAGGAGACATTTATCAAATCTAATGCAAGTTGTGTCATTAGAAAAAGCAAATGACTCTATGAGACCAAGTACTGTCAACTGGAATATTTTGTAACTGAAAAATAAATAAATAATATATATAGCTGGTGGGAGAAGAGATGGATTCATGCCTTTTCCCAATGATATTTTGCACATAAGTGAATATAACAAACCCAATGGGATTTGGAACTCAGCTCTCCGATTTCCAATTCTGAGCCATGCATCTAAGCTTACAGCACTTGGTATTCCCAAGTGGTCATCTATTTAGTTATTGACCAGGTTAAGCATTGCTTACCTTTGGTGACTGTATGAAAACTGATCTTTCAGCATGATATGGTTGTAAGTTGGCAGTGTTCCAGAAGGTATAAAAAGTACAGACAACATACAGGGTTTACCATAATGATGGGAAACATTTTAAATGCAAGTATCTTGGATTATAAAAATGACATAGAGTACCAAATATATTTATTAAATAAATAATATACAAGAGTTCAAGATATTATCTAAGATTTTGCTATTTCCTACAGGTATTTGATATCTTTTTTGCTGACAGTGGAGCATCATATGGTCTGTGTTTGAAAAGTGACAACAAGCTTATGTGTGTTCTCTTCATAGTGGTGATCAGCTCAGGGATGTAATATTCAAATCTTAGATAATATGTTGAACTCTTGTATATTAGTTATGTAACAAATATATATTTGGTATTTTGTCATTTTTATAATCCAATATACTTGCATTTAAAATGTGTCCTATCATAATGAGGTACCTTATATATATATATATATATATATATATATATATTGGACTCTCCTGGTATATTCAATGAATGAGGGTTAAGCAGCTCAGTTCCTAGGAACTGACAGCCCAGAAACCAGCGCATATGATATTGGTTCAAATAGTTGTTTTGGTGCAGTTCAAAAAGAAGAGCGGGGAAATTTTAAAAAAAGAAGCAGTTCAGATTCCAAAAATTCTGCAGCAGGACATCATGTATTTATTTATTATAAAACTGAAGGGTAATTTTTAATGAGAACACACCATGATCCTGATAACCGTTATCTGACTTTCCTGTGAGTCAATCCGATTACACAGGTAGTTTAAGTGTTGCTCGTATCAGGGTGTCCCATAATGATGGGACACATTTTAAATGCAAGTATCTTGGATTATAAAAATGACAGAGAGTACCAAATATATTTATTACATAAGTGATATACAAGAGTCCAAAATATTATCGAAGACTTTGCTATTTCCTACAAATATCTGATATATCTTTTGCTGATGGTGAATCCTTATAACGTTGTGGTCTCCAAAAGGAATTTGTATACATAGTGGATGTATACTTTACCAGCTGAAAATCCATTGTTTGTTGCCCAAAGGAAATTCTGATAGCATTTTGGAAAGCAATAGCACCATTCCAAAAGGTGATCCTGTGTGCTGTTACAAACTTCCATGAGATATGCAATGTCAACTGTATTTGAAATGAGTCAGCTTGTGCATGTTCTCTTCATGGTGGTAACCATCTCAGGGATGTAATATTCCAATCTTAGATAATATATTGAACTCTTGTATAACAGTTATATAATCAATATATTTAGTACTTTATGTCGTTTTTATAATCCAAAATACTTGCATTTAAAATGTGCCCCATCATTATAGGATAATGTGCATATAGAATAATAAATATAAGTAAGATTTACTTGCCAAAAAATATCAGAAGAATAAAAAAGGTGAATAGCAATGTTAGATTTGTTTTTGCAAATGCCATTGGCACAAGTGCTTTTGTTTAATAGAAATCACACACAGTAATAACTGATGTTATTGCCGAAATAAAGATCGATAAGCTCAAAACTAAATCTTTGAAAAGTTATTTTAAAATGCTTATTTTCTCTTAACTGAGGTTAATGATAAGAGAGGAAATAACCATTTGAAAATAAATAAAAAAATACTTTCATGGTAATTGTTCTGATGAACTTCCCTCTATGGTAGCTAGACTTTAGGAATTTAACTGCTGTACTAGATTGGTGGCAATGTTGAAATGGCTATATATTTTTTTAATTGAATTTATCCCAAGCAAGGCAGTAAAGCCACTAAGACATAAGGGGTGTGGAAGAATTAGAAAACAGTAACATTATTAAGGAGCAAGAACAAAAAAGAGTAATCAGGAAGACAGCAGATAGCAATTGACTTTGAATGCAAATTTTTGAAGATCAAAGTTGGCGTGAAAGCATAGAGTCAGAAGAGAGTTTAACGAGTGAGAAGTATGAAAAAAAGCGTAGAACTTATGGTTCCACTTAGAAAATTCAACTGTAAATTGATGAGACCTTCTTGCCAATCTATTACTGCATTTAAATTCATAAAACCTAAGTCTAGGTCAGTAAAGAGCTCATCTGAACAACTACCATGAAAGTATTTATAGAAAAGCCACAGAGAAGCAACTTTATGGTGGTAGGAAAGTTACTGAAGCTGAGACACCAGGTCAGGACCAAAAATATTGCTGACTTTTCTTTGGATTTTATCAAGAATCTTTAAATATATAGTAGGAGCACCAGACCATATGTAGCAGCAATATTCTAAGCATGGATGAATGGTAGACTTATAGATATGTAAGATAGATTATGGAGAAAAACTGACTTGCATGACACAGTGAACAAATTTCTTAGCAACTTGCCTAGCAATGAATTCAATATAGTTTTTCTACTTAATGTCAGCTGAGAATATTAACCTGGGAAGGTGCAATGAGCCACTCTCTTGGAGGTTAGCATGAGCCATGCTGATGGAAGGCAGAAAGGGGTCTCTCAGATAATTAGTAGAAAGCAGTTTTGTTTTTGAAGTGTTAAAATGAACAAGCTATTCTATGTCCCATCCATTTTTGAGATCAGCTGCCAATTTGACCATAACCATAAGTTCTATGCTAACAATTTCTTTTATGACATTTCTCTCTACTGGTTTCTTGCTTCTAAGTCAAATTTGATTTTCAAAAATTTAATTGCAATGTCAATTGTTATATTTTGTCTTAATTCTTGCTCTTTTATTGTTCTCTCTCTTTAATAGTTTTTTTTCTCATATTCTCTAATACTCAGTAACCACTTGCATCTTAGTGGCTTTATTGCCTTGCTTGGGGTGAAATGATTTTTAAAAAATATTAAAAATTAAAATAAGAAAAATAATGAGAATAACTGAGGCTAGATAGCTCCAAAAGAAATTGTATTACTCTCATATTCATGACATTTTGGCTGTTGTATGCTCTGGCCTTCTTCAGGTGTTATATGTTGTAACTTTGCACTAATGCCTTTATTTTGTCCATCGGGAATATGACAATAAAGATGTCCGAACAATGTAAATAGTGTAAATAGTTACAATACCTCATCTCAGGAATATAGACTGCTTTCTTAATTGCTACAATCTTAAACTCTTCATGTCAAGAGTCAACTGTTATCTTTGCTAAATATCCTCATAATATGAACCCTTGCTCTCTCCCTATACACACTTATATAATCTCCGTTCAGTAACTCTCTACCTTGAGTGGCACTTAGGCTTTGTATTGGGTGAACAACAATAAAAAAAATTTTCTAAACTTATTGAGATGGATATTGCTGTGGAACATTTAATTGGGGTACTGAGTTCAAATTCGGGGTTAATCTGTTGCATTCACTTTTGCATAAATGCCCTATTTCATTTACCTCCAGCTATGGGTTAAATAGTAGGGCAAACTGGGCTTTCTAACCTTGAGTGGTAACCAGTCTAATAGAAAGGAAACAACTCCTCTATCTTTCTCAAGAGTGCATAACAATTTGCAGTAAAGAAAAGGAAAATGTGGAGAGTCATGAATGACTACATCCTGAATGAATATGGCAGTATGAAAAAGAAAAAAAAAACATGTAGAAAAGGTTAAAAAATGTAGAAAAGGTTAAAATAATGTAGAAAAGAGTAAAAAAAATTGTAGAAAAGGTTAATCTTATATCATATGGTTTGACATAACCCAGCACTGTAGATAAAATAAGGGTCTCAATTATATAATATATAAGATTATAGTGGTAATTGTGAATTTTAGTGATTTTTCTTGACTCTGTTTTTTATTCTCATAAAAAGCAAATCAATAATTGTCTTTTTATAACATAAAAAAGAAATTTAAATGTAAGGTTTCTATTCACCTTTCTACCTTTTCATTGTTCCTTAAAAAGAAAAAGAAAAAAAAAGCAATAAAAGAGAAAAAAAGATTAAAGAAATAAAAAATATTTCCTGTTCTTAATTCCACTCAGACTCCGCCTCTGCTTGTAGTCCCCCACCACAACCTATCCAGTGTGTATCCTCTTCCTTGCCAGTCCCTAGTTTTGGTCATCTTCATTAGAGAATTTGTATAGTTCTGCAGTTCCTTTAAGAGAATTCTTCTCCTGGCATTTCCAACATTTTTCTATACACTTTAATCTGTCAAACTTGAGACTAGAACATCAAGCAAAACTTCACTCCCAATCGTAGTTCTTTCTTTTTCTTGCACTCACTCACTTGCTCACTCACTCACTCACTCACTCACTCACATTTCTTACTTTTCCTTTTCTTTCTGCTTTACTTTTCAGTTTCACTCTCTTTTTGTATATTTTAAAACTTTCTTCTTCTTCTTCTTATTATTATTATATTTTATTATTATTAATATTAATAATAATAAATTTTGGGTCTGTCACATTAATTTTCAAAATTTTAAATATCTAACTGTCTATGTCTGTTCAGATCTATCTATCTATCTATCTATCTATCAGTCTGTTCATATCTATTTATGCCTGTTTATATCTATCTATCTATCTATCTATCTATCTATCTATCTATCTATCTATCTATCTATCTATCTATTTATGCCTCTATCTAGCTCTGTTCATTATTTATGCCTGTTTTATCTATCTATCTATCTATCTATCTATCTATCTATCAGTCTGTTCATATCTATTTATGCCTGTTTATATCTATCTATCTATCTATCTATCTATCTATCTATCTATCTATCTATCAGTCTGTTCATATCTATTTATGCCTGTTTATATCTATCTATCTATCTATCTATCTATCTGTTCATATCTATTTATCTATCTATCTATCTATCTATCTATCTATCTATCTATCTGTCTGTTCATATCTATTTATGCCTGTTTATATCTATCTATCTATCTATCTATCTATCTGATTCTGTTTATTGTCTACCTATCTTTCTATCTATCCCTGTTTATATCTATCTGTCTTGTTCATATCTATCAATCAATCTATCTATCCATCTCAGTCTGTTCATATCTATTTATCTATCAATCAATCTCTGTTCATATCTATTTATCTCAGCCTTTTCATATCTATCTAAGTTTGTTCAGATCTATCTTATGTTCAGATCTATCTATCTATAATATATCAATCTGTCTCAGTCTGTAAAGTTCTGTCTACTCTCATTCTCTCTCTCTCTCTCTTAGTCTGCTCAGATCTGTTTATTCTCTCTTTCTCTTTATTTCAGCCTGTACACACCTATCTATCTCAATCTGTTTGCATGCATCTATCTATCTATCTATCTATCTAATGTTATCTTTCCATTACACTTTTTCTTTTGACTTTCTTTCCTGTTTTTTTTCCTTCCTTCTCCACAGTTTTCGATTTCATTTCTTAATTTATCTTTTTTTTTTACTGCCATCTTCTTTCTTTGAATCTTTCCTTCTTTCTTTCAGCATTTCTTTTTTTAATCACTGACCGTTTTTTTAATCAATTCCATTATTCTCTCTACCATTTTTTAGTAACCCAGCTTTCTATTTTACAAAGCATTCCTCTATTTTCCTACTTGTTTCTTCTCTTCTTCCTCTTCTCCTTCTTTCCCGCCAATGTTCATTTCTTTGGTCTCTTCCGCCACAACGCCCCTCCTCCACTTGGCACATTTTACTATATTCCACTTCCACTTCTTCTGCACCTCCCTCACACTATACCTCTTCGTTCTTATTCCCTACATGTAATTCTTCTTGCTCCTACTCTCCTCTACTCCCTCAATCTATACACCATCCTCCCTCTCCCCCTCTTCCTCGCCGATCTCCCGTCACGCGTACGCATACACGTGCACCCTCGCACACATGTTATGCAGAGGCCAACTGACTGATACAGCTTTGTGTACGCTGCCAGGCAATGGAAGGCAGACTGACGGTGCACCATTCTGATTCGTTGAAAAGAGGTCAGTCTCTTCCTTCTAGATTCATTACGCTCGGCTCAGTGCATTCGTGGGAGACACAGGTGGCTGTGTTCGTTCATGTGAGACTCATACTCTATAACCGAGGGAAGAGGAGTTTGAGTTTTTAAAGGAGTGTCGGGGACTGTGGAGAGAGAGCGAAGCCGAAGTGCCATGGGTGACAGAAATAAAGAATAAAAAGAGTTACGCTAGAAAACGGGTGGTGATGGTGGTGGTTGTAGTGCAGTGGTTTACCAGAGAAAGTTGGAAACGTGTGAGAGGAAGGGGTTTCCGAACGTTGGCATTGTCTTTGCAAAGGAATTTCAAATTGGTCGCTCTCCTACACTGTCCCAAAACTGAGCCAACCACTTTGCCCCAACAGTGTCTCCAATTCTTTACAGTTTGTCCCCGCCCCGCTAACTTGCGAAGAAAGAGAATAAGGGGGAGGAGGAGGAGGAGAGAAACGATCCAAGAGGAGGAAAAGAAGTGTTTATGTAAGTTAGAGAAGGTGTAGTAGGAGGAGGAGGAGGAAGACGAGTGGGAAGTTCAAGGAGGAGTTTAAAGAAGAGAAGGAGGAGTAACGAAAGAGTGGGGATTGGAGAAGGAAGAGGAGAGACAATGAAATAAAAGTGGAAGGAGAAGGGTAATGTGTGTGACACGTAAATCACACGTATGGTAAATATGTGTTGCTCACTGCACTTAAGATACATAAAACTCAGATTTGTATGTGCGTGCGCGCACACACACACACGCACACATATTTGTTTCTATGAGTATCTCACTCTCTTTTTTTCTATTTCTATTTCTCTCTCAATCTCTCACTACTTTCTCTCTCTCTCTCTCTCTCTCTCTCTCTCTCTATATATATATGAGGAAAAATAGTTGGGTTTATTAAAATTAACTTAGTTTGGCACAAGGTCATTAATATGGGATGCCTATTAGCACTGAACCAGAGTAACTCATTAAACATTATACAAAACTATGGTTATCTATAGTAAAATTTTCAAATATAACTAGAATTTATCCCATGTCTCTAATCAAATTTCTGATTGAAGTAGGTTGAAAATAAGTCTAATTTAGTCTTTTTCCAGTCATTCTTAATTTTTTTAAGCAAAAAAAAAAAATTAAAAAAAATAAGTTACCATTATTAATCCAATTTTTCATTTTACATCAGTTGTTTCACTCATTGATCCTCAGATATAAAACATATAACTCTATGTGCAATTTTGAATATGCCCCTATATATAAAAGATTTTCAGAATGTTTCTGAATATCTAGTAATATATATATATATTGTAGTAAAACTATGCATCTATTTGTGCATAGGTATAGCTTCACATTAACTCAGTGTCCTGACCTTGTTATCAGGTCAGTTAATTGTTAAATGTTCACATTTAATTAATGTTGGCTGGACTTACGAACGTAGCTTGGAAAAAGGTGCCGACTTAGACATGGTTATGTAATGAATATATTTCCTATCAGAATAAACTGATGAGCTTTTATTGCCAATTCAAATTTGGCATATCTAGTTAAATTTTGGCACATCTGGTTAAATTTGGAATGTCTACACCAGAAAATAAGAAATATATAAAGAAATCCCAATATTGAACAGATTTGGGATGTATATGGATCTGGTATTCCCATAGTGAAAATTTTTTTTAATACCATGTCTCTATAGAGTGGCTCTTCACAACTTCCTTTATTGTAACATTTGTGAATTGCCATGACTATTCTTGGGAGAGATAGTTAAGAAGTTTCCTGCTATCTTCATTGTTTTTGGATTTAGATTAATTCTTCTCCCAAACTGTTTGCCAATTAAAACTACAGTTCACCAGTAGCATGCAGAAGAGGGTGGGGCAGAGGGTGTGACCTCCTGGCCATCCTTATCTGGAGGGCATCCAATCAAAGAGTGAAATAAAAATTTAATTTATATTTAATTTGAATAAAGTGTTTATTTTCTGTTTCATCTGTTTTTACATATCTAAAATGTTTTCCTTTCTCACATTTATCAGTAATAAACCCTATAGCCCCCCCACTTAATTTTAGTGGGGCATACAATTAAGGTGTTGGCCCCCAGGCATCACCAACCATCACCAAAACTCTGCACATCACTGTAGTCCACCCTGCTATGCTACTTTTTGCAGAAGTAGAGAGTCAGAGACAGAATTGTGGCTTTGCCAAGGGTATTCAGTCATTTATATGCCATGCATGATACATGTTTAGGTGATCATGTATCTTTTGATACATAACTGACGAGGCAGATTTTTTTTCTCACAGTAGGTTGACATTTCTTTCTGCGGTAGACCAATTACCATCCAAGGCTATAGTACCCGGTCTATCCTGCTATTTACCCATAGCTGGGGAGAGAAGAAGAGGATTCATAACTTTCCTAAGGGTATTAGCATGTAAGTGAATGTTAAGGATTTGACTGGATTATGAACTCAGCTCTCTGATTCCTCAGTCCGAGCCATACAAAGTAAACAACAGCCACAATTTCAATAATCATAATTGTTGTATCATCTACACATCTAATTTGAAGGAAAAAAAAGTATGATGATATTATGAGGTATTGGTCAAGGGTTCTGGGTATGCTACAATGATGTTTATGTCCCAAAACAATAGTTGATATCTGATGAAAACTGTACTGTAAGCAATGTTGTTTATTTTTAGAATTGTCTAATATTATTTTCATATTGAATTTGCTTTTTTAAACCTTTCTAAAACAGAAACTATGATCTGGAATTGGAAATAAAGCAGTGATGACACCTACTCTGAATCCATCATAAAAATTCAGGATGTGGAATTAGTAAATACTAAACACTTCAAATACCTTGGGGTATGGATTAGTTATAACAAATTTAGTATAAGAGAAAAGGAAATTGAACATAGAATAGGCTGCACCAGAGGTAGTTTTACCCAACAAATTACTACAAAATCTAGTAATGAACTTAAGTTCATAAAGTCTCTCTCTTTCTCTCTCTTGCTCTCTCTCTCTCTCTCTCTCTATATATATATATATATATATATATATATATATTACAAATATGTATATATACATATATGCCAACTTTCAAATACAGTAAACATTTACTTTGAAAAATAAGGTTTCAAACTTTGAAAAATTGACTATGAGAGAAGTGTGCTTATCATCAACATATTGTTACCTTGTATTGTTATATAAAACTCAAGACAAGTAACATGATTAGTGCCAGGAATTTTGAGTCCATGCCTGTGGAAAGAAAGTAAACACTAACATCATCCTGAAGACTTGAATCATGTTCTTAAATAGTCTTGTCAGATCAAGACTTTCATATGCATGCCATGCATGGCACCAAACCTGTTCAGAAATATCTAAACTGACACCTGTATACAACTGCTTTCTAAGATCAATTGTTAAAAATGGTTTTGAGCAAGTGAAGTCTGAAAGTCTTGACAAAGACTTTGAATGTTGTGGACTGGCACTACAGAATCACAAACAAAGAACTGTACCAGATAACAGAAACTACATCACTTGAGGAGTACCAACAGCAGCAACAACTAAAATGGCTATCGCATGTAACTTGAAAAGAAAATAATGACATAATCAAGATGCTGAAATTCCACACTACTTCAAATAAAAGGTTAGGAAGGAAGCCTTCATCAATACTGGAAAGAGCAATGACAGCCACTGCACTTGAGAAACCTATTTTCATGAAAAATTGTTTTAAGAGAAAGATTTTATAAATTTCAGCCAAAAGTAGCACTGGCTGCTTGCTCAATGAATGACAAATGTTTCCTTATAAGGAAACGGCTAATATTATCATTACCATTTTATCTATATATATCTGTACTGTGTATACATATATATATATATTTGAAAGCTTTTTTATCTGACATTATTTCCTCATGCTGTAAACATTATATTTAGTGGGTACACATGTTTAAGTTGCTATTCCATTTTTTTTATTTAAACAGTAAAATTAATAACAATTGGCCTTGATTGGGAAATACTACCAAAGAAAAATTGTGTCTTCAACAGACATCAAACGTGAATCACTTTTTCCATCAGGGAAACCACTTTTTGAGCCAAAGTGTGTCTCTACCCATTTGGCCATGGAGACCAGGCTGACAGAGTTAGGTTGGAATTACCTATTTAAAGAAAGCACATTTCTCTTTGGAACTCTTATAAATCTATATCTGCTAGCTTCATTTTCATACCTGAAACATAAAAAAGAGTAAATTTTGAAAGGATTTTTTTATCTGACATTATTTCCTACTAGCAGTAGAGCCTGGCGTTGCCCCGGCATGTAACAGTAAGAGATAGATCAAGTATTGACCATCATAAAGACTGAAAAATAAAATTGACAAAGATTATTGTTTAAGGTTGACGGACACGCATGTCTTAATTTTTTTTTTAATTGTTTTTTTTTTTGTTTTTTCTTTTTTTTTTTTACGAATTGGTCAAACCCAAACTCAAACAAAAACATTGTTTTCAATTGTTATGAGTCTACCGATTGAATAGAATTTTATTATAAACAACTGTCTTGTAAATGGAATTTTTAAAGCATTCTGAATGTAAAAATAAAGAAAAAAGTGTGTAAGACAATAAGAAACACTACCTGCCAAAAAAAAGTGAAGTTTTGTTGAAATCAGTTGAAAAATGTAGGAAATCCGATCCAATATATAAACGAACACAGACACACACACACACAAATAACATGGGTTTTATAAGTATAACTTGATATGAATTGTCTCCCTTTCATTCAGCGATGCTTCTTAATCGTGTTTTCAAATTGATTTTGTGCAAAAACAATTGTGTTTTTCCAATTTTTGATGCTGTCAGAACCACCACAAGGTAATTTTACGTAGTCCTGTGAAGTTTTGTTAAACTCGGTTGAAAAATGTAGGAAATATGATCCCATATATAAACGTACAGACACACGCACACAATCTGC